GATGAAACACGTTGTTTTGCAACAGGAGAAACAGGGAAACTCACTCTTGATTGTTTGCCAAGCACACATGAATCACAAAATGGCATACACGACAATTTGTCATCACCAAAACAGCCACTTTTATGCAAAATCTCAAGACCCTTAGAACTCATGTGACCTAAACGTTTATGCCACAAATCAGTTTTATCACCAAAGACAGCATTCACAGAGTTTTGCACACAAGATTCAGCAAAGCAAACATACAAATTCATTTTTTTCACAGCTTTGAAGATCACCAAAGAACCCTTCAAAATTTTCATAACACCATTTCCCCATTTACCCTCTAAACCATCATCTTCTAATGCAGCACATGATATCAAATTTTGGCACAAATCAGGAACATGCCTCACATTCTTCAAAGTTAACACATAACCGGAATCAAAACGCAGACAAATATCACCAAGACCAACAACTTCGCACAATTTCTCATTAGCCATAGAAACAGATCCATGTTTCACATCTTTGTAGTTCGAGAACAAATTCTTAAAAGGAGACATATGAAACGTGCATGCAGAATCAACAAGCCATTCATTTTCACAAATAGAACGAGAACGCACAGAATTCACATTAGCATGCATTTCAGTCACCATAAAAACATCACCATGATTCTCACTACTAGATGCCACATTTGCACGATCATTATGATGGATTTTCTTAGGTTTAGGGCACTCATTAATGTAATGACCAGATTCACCACAATTATAACACTTACGATTTTTCAGTCTAGACTTAGACCGACTTTTGCCCCGACCTTTCTTTTTGCCAAAACTTTGATTATTCTGAGGTTTTTGATTTTGAAACCGGTTTTGAGATCTACCTCTCACAAAATTAACCTCAGTGACATTCTTACCACCCCTGTTTGTTTTCAAATCAAGCTCTTTGCTTTTCAAACCATTCACAACAGTTTCAAGATTCACATTATCTCTACCATACTTAATAGCAGATTTCACATCACTGTAAGAATCAGGTATAGCATTCAAGAGCACAATAGGGGTATAATCATCAATATGCTTATCACCAGTTTGTTTAATATCCTGAACAAGTTTGGTAAACACATCCAAATTATCATCCATATCTTTGGACAAATCAAGTTTGAACCGGAAAAATTTCTCAAGCAAAAACAACTTATTTGGCAAAGAAGTTTCAGTATATAATTCCTCTAATTTTTCCCAAAGTTCTTTAGCAGAGTCCAATTTACCAACTTTTCTTAACACAGAGTCAGATAAGTTCAGAATAATCGAAGAATAAGCAAACTCATCAATTTCGGCCCTTTTCTCGACCGACACATTAGCAGAATGAGAAAGGTCAATTGCTTTAAACACCTTTTGTTGAACAAGAATACCTTTCATTTTCTGCTGCCAAATACCAAAATCAGATTTTCCATCAAACGGGACTAAGCTGAAAGCTGAAACGGATCCCATTTTAAAAAAACACACAAGTTTTCGCACAAAAAATCACACAAAGCAAAATACACAGAAAGATACGCCAAATAGCCAGAATATCACAAAGATATAAAACACACAATAACTAACCGACACGACAAGTTACACAGAGCAAATAAAGCACAGCGGAATAACACTACAAAAGCGATAAATCAAATAAGCATGCGGCTGGAGTCTCAAAAGCGTTAAATCACACAAATCACAAAGATCCTAAAAAAATCTACCAGCACGTTCCCAACAAGCAATCCCTAATCTCTGGACGCAATCCCCGTCCAGAGGCTACAATAAGCAATCCCTAATCCCTGGACGCA